GACTCGTTTGTCATCTCTTGAGTGCATTTAACCACTGTCAATGCTTTGTGCCGGGTTGAAGTAACCCATTTGCTGCTCTGGTTTGGAGCCCTGTGCAGGTGTCCTGCCCGCAATCCGATGGCCCCAATGCTGAAGGACAAGACAACGACCTCTTTGATAGGTGGCCCTCTTGACAGCTTTGCACCAGACCAGGGGATGTGTTCCTTCAGGATTCTGGGGCCAGCATCCTCAGGACAAGCTGGCATGATGGAAAGGTCATGTACCAAGTCGCTGTAGGCAGGGGCTTTGCCTGTTGCTCCTGGATGCAGTGGCAGTGACCATCAGCGGTCCCCAGGGTCTGCCGCACAGACAGCTCGTTCAGAGATGTCGATGGTCATCTCTGCCCAGAATGAGAACTGCCAGCCCTGGGAGCACCACACCGTCAACTCTTGCCATGGCTGACCTCTGCCCAGTGCTGGACATGCCAGCAGTGTCAACATTGCCTGTGGCATCACCTTCTGGCCTGGGATGGACATGGCATGGAAAACCCAGCAGAGCTGCTTGATCCCTGCAACAGCCCAGCTGAGGGCAGGTGATGCCACTCTGAAACAGGGACCCCAGGCAAGAGGACACTGTTGATGGTCTGGAGGGAAACCTGGACTACAGTCCATCCCCTCCAACCTGTTGCAGGATGAGTGTTGTCAGGAGGCTTTGGTTCTTTATGGATCTTCTCAGTGTTGGGTCACCTCTCCACATCTGAGTAGAAGGGAGGCTTCTCCCCCACCAGAGGTTTCAGCAGGCGGGCAAGTACTGTCTCTTCCCTTTGGTGCCCAGGAGCTGGGCCCGGTGCTTCAGGCAGTGAGAGACTTCAGGAAGTATTAAATAGCTGCTGGATGCGTCACCACAGCACTTGATCCAGGGCAGTGAGTCATGGCAAGCCTGCCAGCATGGAGGGTGGTGGCACAGGGCCACCCCTCCCCTCCCTGCTTGCTGTTTTCTCATGTATTGGTTTATTTTTTATTTGTTTGCCTGGGGTGAGGATCCCCTTGGCATTGGGTGGGAGAGGAGCAAGAAGGTCAAGTTCATAGTAGGAATAAAATGACTGACAGTACCCCATCATTTTCCTGGAGTATATCCAAAGGGATGCAGAGCTGCTGTTCCCTGTAGACACCTTGGTGCTTCATAGATGACAGGCTCATCACAACCTGCTCTCAAGTACAAATACATCTTTATTAACTATGTCTTTATGACTCTACCCCCAGCCCAAACCCTGACCCAAAAGGCTGGTCTCAATTCTTCTCAGTTTTAATTACGCTTTCTGGGAAGCTCTCCCTGTGGCCCTGCTCTCCTGCCACCTTGCCCTGTATCCAGCTTCCTGCCGGGGAAGAGTTAGGGAATAGACATAGTTAGGGAGGTGAGTGAACTCGCAGAAGTATGTGAAACCTTAGTGCTGGCAGTATGCTCATCTCAAAACCTTTATGCTCGTCCCAGATGGTCTTTGTTAGGACCTCTGGTAGAGGTCTTTGGGATGCTTTGTGATTTGGGTTGCAGGCTAGCTTTGCTGTTGAATGCAATATGGGTGTTTTTTCTCTGAACCAGATTTTTTTTTATTCCTGTGTGTGGCAAAATGTGGTAGAAAGGCTCTTGCAAAGTGCTTGCAGTCCTTGGCTGGAAGATGCTATCTCAGCTTCTGAGGGACCCTATGGGGAACACGGCAGGGGTGTTCCTGCAAATTGGTGGTGGGAGGGTGAGTGCACATGTATTATTTCAGATCCAGGGAGATCATCAAGCCCTGGTGAGTCCCAGCAGCCATTGGTATGGCAGTTTGAAGGAGCAGAATGTTCATCCTTCTGCACATGCAGAAATGCTGCTTCATCTCCTCTTCCTTTAGCCTGAAAGTTTCAGGGAGGCTGGGAGACAGGAGTGCCAGTAAACAAAATAAAGCTGCAAGATCTAAGATTTTTTAATTTAATTTTTTTTGTGCGTGTGTCGGCATTTGAAATTCCGACTCTCAGTTAGGAAATCTGTTGAAGTCGTGGTATGAATCATCCTTACTCTCAATTTTGGGACCTATCGCAGGGGGACGGGAGCAAAAAATTAGTCATTTTTTTTAAGCTGCTTCCAAGAAAAATTGTTTAGAAATCCACAGTGGTGGAGTGGTGGGGAAAAGAATAAAATGAGTGGCCATCACGTGTCCCAGCACCTGCAGCCACCTGCTTGCTTCCCTGGTGCTGTTTTGGAGCAGCAGCAGGGCCTGGCAGCTGCCTGCACTCCTGGTTTGTGATCAAAGTGACCTCCTAGGGCAAATACAAACAGGCAGCTGGAAACCTGCCTCCCGTCCAGAAGCTGCTCTTCCCAAGAAAAGCAGTTCTTGCTCAAGCCTATTTTTTCTGCTACCTGTTGGTGTTACAAAGGTATCTGCTGTTAATGCAGGTGGTTGGCAGCAAAGCTCGAGGAGGGTCGTATTTGCAAGTGGAGCAATGAGACTGTCCCCCAGCTGTTGGGTTGTTTTGACTGATGGTAAAGAGCTGGTTGGGCTACAGCAGAGATGATGCTGGGGGTGAGATGAAGGCTTTTAGGTTTATTGCCTGATGGGTTTTTTTGAACTGAGGTGATACTGGCATGGTGGGATATTGAGAATGAGATGCTGTGTTAAGGTTGTGATGTCCCTCCCACGCAGGAACTGGAGGGTACAAGGAGCATTGCAGGTTTACCTTAGATGAGGATGAACCTTCATCCTGTCAGCTCACCTGTGAGCCCAGGGTTTTGGAGGAAGAGGGCAGCCAGGCTGGTTTTGGGTGGGAGCTGATCCTCCCTTGGAAGGCAGGAGGAAGCAGCCCCCAGCTCTATTTAGCACCCCCTTCAAGGGGACAGATAACATCCTGCATCTGGCAGCGAGCTGGGCACAATGACTCCCAAAAACTCCAGTTGTTACAGGGAGTGATCAGTTAGTTAACAGGGACCCCCTGTGCTTGCAAAGGTCTAAGGAAACAATAAAATCGACTGGACTTAGGGGTGCTGGGGAACATGACAGGGAGAGATGCAGCAAGGACAATGCCCTGGCTGCTTTTTTGTGGGGGTTTCTCTCACATAAGGAGAAAAGCTGGCTGCCACCGCTCCCAGCTTTTTGGCAGTGGTGTGCCACTGCTGGCTGCTGGTAAATGATTGCCCAAGAACGCCAACCAAGGCGGGGCCAGAGGCTGGTGCAGGGTTTGAACCCAGACAGGTGCCTGGGACCCGTGTGCCGGCAGCCATCCTGCTTCCTCAGCCCACAGTGTTCGGCAACCACTGGATTTCTCAGGCAAGGTGAGACCGTGTGGCGTGACTCAACAAGCTGGGTTATTTTTCTTATTTTTATGCTCCTAGCCTCCTTACCGGGTCATGGCACAGGAGGCAGGATTTGATACTAGCTGGGTCCCTAGCAGGGGGATAATGCTCCCTGCGATGCGTTGCCTCTGATTTTGGCATTAGGGTGCTGCTGAGGGGGAGACTGGGGTGTGTCTGTTAGTGTACAACAATGGTTTCAGGGTGAGCTGGGTGGTTCCGCAGTGACACCTGGACTTTGCTCCGTCCCAGGGGACAGTTGCAGCCGTGAATACACAGGACAGGGGGAGCAGTGCCAAAACCCAACTTTAAAATTAAGTTGGGTCAAATCGTGTAAATGTCGGTGGTTTGGGGCCCACAGGGAGGTCAGTCAAACCCAACGTGCCCTTCATCCCCACCGGTTTTCCCCGGTCGCTCAGCCAAGGCAAACATGAGCTCAGCGCTGAGGTATTTGCGCTGCTCTGTGCCCGTGTTTCAGAGGTGGGCAGGGAGGGGACACCAACAGGACCCAGCGCCTGTAGGGAATGACCTCACCAAGACATGCCTTCCCTATTTTCTCCTTTCTCACACTGTGACTAAAATTCCTCGTCACTGGAGATGGGACCCTTCAAGCCCCTGCCTTTGATTACTCAAGTAGGCAAAAAAAAATAATGGAGAAGGGCTGTTTAACCTGAGTTCAGGCTTTCTCACAGCCTTGCTGGAAACTTGGGACAGCTGGAGCTCAGGATGGAGGGGCTGCAACCAGATAGGTGAGGTTGGGAAAGCAGTTTGTGACCCTCAGGACAGAGGGCCTGGAAATTTCCTGTCCATGTTCTTCCAGCCAGGATTTTCAGACAGGACTGATACTACTAAAAACAGTATTATAAAGAGGAAAAGAGGTATATCTTTGCACAGTGTTTGAAAACAGCATAAGTTTAAATATTTGAGTTCTTTACAGCTTGTGCTTAACTTTTTTTTTTATTTTATGACCATTGCAGTTGTTGAGCTGCTGGAAAAGGCAGGAGTTGGGTGGGCCCAGGCTAACAGGTGTTGTTTTAAGCTAGAAGTAGCTGATGGGTTGGATTTGAGTCAGGCCACAGTGTTTGTCAGAGCCTGGGCTTCACCATGGGTGTTCACGTCTGGATCCCTCTCCCAAACCCGACTTTTGGTCAGGTTTTTGTGCAGAAAGAGGCATTATTTTAATTTCTTAATCCCTCTCTGATAAATTGAGATGGATGTAAATAGATTGAAATGTGCATTACCTGCACCTTCCCTCAAAATCCCATTGTAAAAGCAGGCAGCCAGTGGTTTCTCTGCCTTTTCCAATGCTGTTTGGAAAATCCTCTTGTACCATGCCGTCAAATTGTCAGAGAATTTGCAGTAAGAGTCTAGCAACCCATTAAAAGTCTATGCTCGCAGCAGAAATAACCTGGGCATCTTCTGAACACCATGCAGTCTCACAAACCGCATCTCTTCCTACCATAGGAAGATTTGGACCCACTGCCCAGACATGAGGGGAAAAAAATATTTTTCTTTTTCTTTTCAGATGAATATCAGTGTTTAATAACATCAACAAAAATGCAGTCTGTGCAGGGCAGCAGCGAACCTTGGTCTAAGATTCACCCGTGGGATGATGATTTAATGACACTGCTTTTCAAGTGTCTTGTATTCCTTGTTAGTGGCTTGGGATGGAAACCTGGTTTCTTTTCTTCCCACAGGCAGCCTGTCCTGCAATGAGCCAGTGCACCTGAGGCCCGGCAACCGTGGGGATGGAGCTGAAGGTCTGGGTGGATGGGATCCAGAGGGTTGTGTGCGGTGTCTCAGAGCAAACTACCTGCCAAGAAGTGGTCATTGCCCTGGCACGGGCCATCGGTGAGCCATCTCCATCTGCTGGGGGGATGTCCCTTTGCAGACAGGGCATCTGCCAAGGGGTTGCCCCATTTGCAGGAGCTTCCTGTGAAAGGGAGACCTTGGGTGGGTGGGGGTCCTGCTCTGCAGCTGTGGGGATGCCACCAGCCACTGCCCGTGGGGCAGCAGCCTCAGCACACCAGTGCTGGCTACTGCTTTCCCTAAATGATGTGCTCACCTCCCGGCAGGTCAGACGGGCCGCTATGTGCTGGTGCAGAAGCTGCGGGAGAAGGAGCGGCAGCTGCTGCCGCTGGAGTGCCCCCTGGAGTCGCTGGCCAAGTGTGGGCAGTACGCCAACGATGTGCAGTTCATCCTGCGGCGGACAGGCCCCAGCATGGCCGAGCGGCCCTCCTCGGAGGGCGCTCCGCAAGCTCCTGAGAGGACGTTCATCCGGGCCAGTTTGCCCATCAAGCCCAGGCTCGCCAGCATGGATGCACCCCGTTCTCGGGAGCCAAAAAAATCCATGACCTTCAACTTGGGTCCTACAGGCTCCAGTGACCCATTCACCGTGAGCCGATGGAGGCAGCAAACACGGGAAGGAATAGACTTGGAGGGTGGTGGGATTGTCCAACCCTCCAAAGAGGAACTGTTTAGGAGGGTGCTGCAGCAGCAGGAGCAGCTGCATTCCTTGGAGGCCCATGGGGACACCCTGGAAATGGACCTACGGCTCTGGGAGTGCGGCCGGCTTGCCGGCCAGGAGAATGAGATCCTGTATCTGGAGCAACTGGTACGAAGGAATGAGACAGAGCTGGGCGAGGAGGAATTTTGGCAGAGCGAGCTCCGGCTGGAAAAGGAGTGTGAGCGAGAGCGGCAGGAGCGGGTTAGAAGCCTGCGGGCCAGCCTGGAGGAGTACACCCAGAGGATCTATGAGCTGAGTGCCCGGACTGAAGCCCTGCAGGAGGAGATCCAGTGGGAGATGGCTGAGAGGGCCAAGAGGGGAAAGGAGATCTCTGTGCCCAGCCCCATAGAGCTGGAGGACATGGCCACCAAAATGAAAAGGGACCTGGAGGCCAAGGTCAAGCAAGGCACCCAGCTGGAGAGCAACCTGGCCAGTGTGGAGAAGGCCCTGGAGGAAGCTGAAAAGAACCTGCAGGTAGATAGGACTGGGTTGAGCCATGCCATGGAGTAGCAGGACCTTTGGGGAGGGGTTGGGGCCAGCTTTCCAAGCCCCATGGACCAGTGGGTTGAGTGGGGTTAGTTACCCCACCTGGGCAGTGAACGTGGCAGTGGGTGCATGGAGGTGGCTCAGCAGCAGTGATCTCTGTCGGAAGGACACCACCACTCTCACCTGGCTGGCACAGGGTCCCACACCCATTGCTCTGCATGCAAGCTGCATCTGGGCTAAGGTTCCTGCTGACTGGTGCAGTGGGAGCACAGCATCACCCTGCTCCAGCACAGACAGTCGTGCGGAGAGCAAATGGTCCACCTGCGGGGTTGGTGGCGTTGGCCCAAGGGTCAATGTTGTCTTGGATGAAGGAGTCACAGAGGGCATGGGATAGGTCCTCGTGGTGCCTGTGCCTGAAGCCTTTTGACCATGCAAGCTGTGCAGGGGCTCAGGCTCATAGCAGGGGGCTGCACAGTGTGGAGATAGCAGCTCAGGCTGAGCTGTGATGCCCCCCCCCCAGCTCACCTGTTGCAGCCCCCCCAACATCAGGGGGTCAAGGGGCTGCGTGACTCCTGCCTTGCGCCCATTGGGTCCCCTTTGGTGCAGCAAAGGCAAAAAGCTTTCACCCAGCCACGCAGCGGTAGCTGTCCTTCCCCAGGCTGACCATGCTTCCAGCATCTTGCCTTAAGCATCTCATTTGTGCTCGGCATCTCACAGCACGGCAGCGGCTGCCATTTGCCGGCTGCTCGCACCCTCTTGTGGAGATGCAGCAAACCAGGGCTGTTTCCAAAACAACGCTTTCCTCGTTGCCACTGCCTGGGCACCCTCCTTCCTGCAGACCCTCGGAGAGGGGCAGCTGAGCCACGGTACTCCTGAGGTCCCCTCCACTGGCTTCAGCAGAGTGAGCCCCAGCTGGGGGTGCTGCCCCAGGGGTTGCATCCCCAGGTTGTAGCCTGGGGACATGGGGGGAACATGCAGCTCATCGTGTTCCCTCCCTCGGTGTGTGTTTTGCAGGCCCAGACCCAAGAGCTGGAGGAATTAAATAAGGAGCTGAGGCAGTGTAATTTGCAGCAGTTTATTCAGCAGACGGGGGCCACGGTGACTGTCCTGCAGGCCAGGTCTGAGGAGGATGCCCAGCCGGAGCCGAGCCTGTGCGAGCTGCCAGCCTACCGGAGAAACGGAGGTCAGCATGCTGCCGCTGGCTCGGCCGCAGGGACCCCTGCCCGCTCCCTGCCTCCTTCTCCAAGGTGTCAGTTCCAAAGCTGGCTGGTTCTGCCCTGGGCACTGAGGTTAGGCAGCAGGGACGGGGTTTGGTGCTGACACGACAGTTGCTCACCACTCCAGTGGGTCTCTGAGCTTTGCCAGCCCTGGGGTTCCTTCCTCCTCCCCATTGAAGCCTGGGGGCTGCTTGTAGACATTCTCAGAATTCAGATCCTGCAGTGCTGCTTTAGGGGCTGAGGCGGCCGCAGGGAGCTTTCCTTCCCAGCTTTGCTGCATGTCACCACAGCAGCTGTAGCAAAAAGCAGGTGGCCAAGGGCCAGCATCAGTCCCCAGGGGCTGTGGGCTGGTGGGGACAGGCTCTGGCTGCCACTGACCTCTTCGTGTTCGGTGAGGGAAGGGTGAGTGTGGTGCCCAGGGCCATGTCTGCATCCTTGCAGGGACAAGAGGAGGTGGTGGGAGGCTCTCACAGAAGGGGACCTGGTCGTTTCTCCTCCAGAGCACCTGGAGTGGGTGACGTGACTGCCCTGCGGCACTGCGGCAGCTGGGCCCAGAAAGCAGGGGATGTGCAAGCCCTGCCTAAGCCAGGTGTTTTTCCCTATCCTGTAGGTTTTCCTCCCACCGCTGGTACTGACTCGCCTCCCCGAGTCAGCACCAAGCAGCTCCTCAGCCATCCCAGGACCCTGCCGGAGCCCCTGGTGTCCAGCCTGAACCCCGAGGGTGCGTATGTCCCGTTGGGGCCCTGGGAGCATGAGCCAGTCTGCAGAGGATGGGTGGGAAGAGGGGAGAGGCTTTTGCTGCCCAAAATGGGCTGCAGAGAGCAAGCGTGTGCTGGTAGTGGGAGGCCGGAGCTATTTATAGATGCCATTAGGAAGCACAAAGCTTACACTCCAGCAGTCTCTGCTCTGCTGCCAGGGGCTCATATGCTGGTAGTCCAGCTCTCTGCCCTGCCGGGAGCTGTGGAGGATGGTCCTCACCCCCTCTCCTGCCACTCTGCATCCCCTGGAGCTAAGACCTTGCTGTTATTAGAGTGGGGAGAATTTGTCTCCTGTCTTTTACAGGAGCTACTCTTGCTCCATCTTAACAACTAGTTCTCTCCAAACCCCTTTCTATCTCCTGTTACTCTTTTTTCACCTTGCACCTGTTTTTGGGTACAGAAGAGCAAGCTGTGGTGTCCTTGCCCACCATGGCGATGCTGCCTCCATCCTGGCCTTCCATTCTCATCCTTGCCACCATTGCCTTAGCAAAACCCTACTGCCATCCTCCTCACAGCCCAATACATCCACCCCCCATTTTGCCAGATGCTGCAGCATCTGCATGTCCATCTCTCAAGTTTTGCACTCATGTACATCCTCTTTTCTGCTCCCCTTTTTGTGAGCGCTTGCCCACTGTGGTGGGATTGCTCAGATGTTTTTTTCTCTTGTCTTGCAGTTGTATCAACCAGGCAAAGCATCTGGAGGTAGAAGGGCCCGGGCAGCGGAGGATCAATTGCCTTGCAAGTGTAACTGTATAAATAAACCATATTATATATATATATATTTTATATATTTTTTTTTTTTTACTGCTTTATATCGTGAATGGATGTGGACAGCCAGACAGAGTATTTTTACAGACTATAAAATAAAACCAGAGACTGATGACACAAAGCAACCATCTTCCCCTGCGGATGAAAGTGACCCCCTTCTACTTTTTTTAAAGCAGTTTCTATATTCAACAGAAAACACCAGTGCTCCCATTCTGCATAGCCTCCTCAGAAGACCCATCATGCATTTGGAAAAGTCCTTGTTCCTTTGACTAGGAGAGCAGAGCTGTGGTGGAGACCTGCCTGGAGACTCACCTGGATGGAGCAAGTTAACCGATTTTGCAGCATCTCGTCGCAGCAAGCAGGGCCATGACAAATAGCCTCCTCACTGACTGCAGGGAAGGCACAAGAGCAGCTTTAAGACAAATTTCTGCCCTCTCTTTTTTAATATATATATTATAAGAAACCTGTAGTAGAAGCCCATTTTCCATGGTGCCATGGACTACGCTTCAAGGGAGCAATGGAGCACAGAGCAGGAGCTTGTTTTTCTCATATGCACTTAGATTTTCAACTTGTTTTTAAAATAAAAAATTGCAGAATGAGCCCTTCCCCAGTGGTGGTGTGAGTGGGGAGCAGGACCAAAACACTCTTAGTGACATTTCCCATTTTTTTTTTTTTTTTATTATTATTCTTTTTTCCCCCCCTTGATGGCCAGTAGCTACTATTTTGTTCATCTGTCCTCTGTCCCAGTGGGTCGCCTTGTATTTTAATTGCAAAACCAAAGCGGTTTGGGATGAGTTTGTCCAGATCTCCAAGCCTGTTTTCAACGCGTCATATGCAAAAAACGTGACTTGGTCACAGCGTTCACCATAAAATCCTGCTTTCCCTGTGCAAATGTAATCCTGTGTGCCGCAGATCCACTTTTCAATAAATCTTTGGGAAAGGATTTGAGCCAAGTGAGCGTGCTGTTGTGGGCAGGGTGAGCTGTCCCTGACAGCTCCTGGTCCCGTGCCTGACGGACACATCTGAGCTGTTTGTCCACCCTGCAGCTGCCTCTTTCGTTTCCAAGCCATCTCTTTCTATTTGCTGAATTAAAGCTGTAAGTATTTTATAACCAACTGAATCTTATGCACACAGTGCTCTTTTTTTTCTTTTTTTTTTTTTTTTTAAATCACAAAGTGCTTTACAGCCGGCAGATGCAGCTTGTCTCCAGTGAGATGTGGCCATCTCTGGGATGAAACATGACAACCTTTTAATAATGCACAGCAGCAGCTCGGAGCATTTTAGGACAGGAGGCAAAGGGGATGGTGCTTGTCTGCAAATAGGAGCAGGTAAGGGGAAACCTCCCATTTGCCTTCAAGTCGCTTTGTCTGCACCTGGATTACAGCAGCCAAGAATATCAGCTCTTGCTGTTTATCGGCATCTCCCCTGAGACTCTGCTGGGCTGTGTCCCCAGAGACATGCCCCTCTCAAAGCCAATTTTCAAGGTGCTACCACAGCCACCAGGTTGGTCAAGTGATACTGAAGGATTAAAGTTTGTTTTGTTGGGAGATCACTGGTACAGCTGTGACTCAGGTTACCACTGGAGAGCTGTGGCAGTGGGGAGATGCAATTTCAAAGTTGTCTTTTTTCAACTGGGACTTTTGGGGTTTTCCTTTGGGGGTTCTTTTTCAAGTTTCTCTTCCCCCCCTCTCCTTAAACCATCTATCTCAGGGAAATTAGTTAAAAATTTATTTGCTCCATGCAGCTGCATCTAGTTTCTCCCATTTGCCTGCTTTTTTGGACTTTGTGCACTCATTTGTTTGGATTCTCTTGCTTTTTAAAAAGATTCCACCTTGCTAAGGGAAGTGGAGGGTGATGGAGGTTGCAAAGAGCATTTCAGTGCTGCTTGGGAAAAACACCCAAGAAGTGGGTTCAGAAAACTCGCTTGCCTTGGATATGGATAGATTTTGGGGTGTTATGGGAAGTCCTCTGCATGCCCTGAAAAACTGACCTCTGCAGGTTAAAAACTGGATCTCTCATTTTTGGGGCTATATCTGTAGTCTTGCCTTCTGCAGAATAAATGGTAACGAAGAGAAAAAGGTCATTGCTTACGGCACTTCCTATTGGGAAAAACGGGAGCAGAAAATTAATTTGAATCTGATTTGGGAGGTGGGATTTTGCCCTGTTATGATTATATATTATTTATTGTTGTTGTGGGTTACTTCTGTTTAGTCATGATCTCACAGACCAAGCCAGCACCAGTCTTTCCTGGAGGAAGGTGTGGGAGGGTATGGAAAATAAAGGTTTAAAATATATATATCACAGCAGATTTTGGCCCTTCAGCTGATGCCCCTTGGCTGGGATGCAGGATTTGGAACTGTTGCGTGGGATGGGAGACAGTGTAACTCAACTGTGTCCCCCACTGAGGTCTGATAATCAGGCAGGGGTCTAGGAACAGTGCCCTGGCCAGGGGCTAACTCGTGTTTTTTTCAGCTCGAGACTGTGGCACTTTGCAGATTTTCTTCATTTTATGTCCTACAAACGATCGCCCAGCTGCTGCCTAGGCAGCAGTGTTTTGTAAGGTAATAAATTACCTTGATTAACACCTCTGTCCCTGCTGTGGTGCACGTGGCAGCAGGGAGAGAGGCGTTAATCGAACCCACACATTACCTCAGGAGCTCCCCAGCCGTGGGTGACCTATATTCCTCCCGGCACAGGGGGCCTGCGATGGCAGGGCGAACGTGCGAGCCCCCGCGTGTTATTTAACTGAGTGAGGCTCAATACCCACTCTGGCTCCCCCGCCCTCCCGCTTTTATCTGCTCTAAAGCCTGTGTCAATAATACATTTCTGCCATTGAATATTTTATTGATGGTTTGACTTTTTTTGCTGCTCGCAATTCCCATTTCAAGGCTGCGTGATTGTTCCTAATTAAAATTTTATGCCCTGGGACAAGCCTTCTTGCTACAGTGGAGATGATGCTGTCCTTTTCTAGGCCACTACAGAGCAGTAGGAAGGAATTACCCATTGTTATGAGATTAAAACAAAGCAAATAAATTATTGTTTTTCCCTTGAAAAACAAACCCAAAGCCCAGCGTACGATGCGTACTGGAGAGGGAACAACTGGCTTGCGGGCAAGGCAGGGATCCAAGCGTACAGGGTGGCTCGAGGATGCTGTGCCTGGCTGAGCAGGGACTTGTGTCCCCATGTCCCTCAGGCATTGTGGGCAGCTTCTTCCTTCCCTGTAGTGGGTGGGAATGGGCTTCAGAGCTTCTCCCTGCTCAGATGTTTCTCACTACTGGCTCCAGTGCCGCCCAAAAATCACAAAGCAAAGGATATACCTGTTTGTAACTGGTGATCAACCCCAGCTTTTTGCTGGGTTTTTTTTGTTTGTTTTTTTCAATTTGCAGGCTCTGTCAGCACAAGGCACCATTCAGGAGAGTAATTCAGCCACCTCCAGCTTCCCTGGAGCTCTTTTCTTCACTGCACTACCCCATTTTTAATTTTTTCTTTTTTTAAAATGGCAATATAAAAATCGACCCCATTTCCTCACCCATCTACTCTGGACTGTCAGCTCCTTAGGCCATGCATCCTTTGCAGATGGTCTGCCTGCCAGCACTGCCCCAGGCCAGTAGAGTTTCTCAAGGCGCTTATACCACCCCCAGTTCGCAGTCACCAATTTGTACGAGCTCCTCAGTGTTTGGGTTTGGATTTTTTTTCCCCTAAATTTCATCTAGAGTAGTAGAAGTGCTTGTGCTGCCTCCCAGCCCCTGAATTTGGCAAGCAGCTTTTAAAGCACACACTTCAGCTCCAGTTACATAAGGAAAGGTGTGAATGTCTGGAGGAGAAAATGCCTGTTGGCTTTGCTCCCCAAGTGGTGTCCAGATGCTCTGCTGCTCCTAGGCGCACAGCTTCTACCAGGGTAGTTCACTGCAGATGGAGAAGAGCTGCTTGAACTGGTGTGCATGTCCATGCAGGGAGCATTGTCTGCTCTCCTATGATGATTTTTCTTTCTGTCTCAGAGTACAGACTGAGTGCATTCTACCTTGCCCTGGAAAAAAAAATAAAAATCATAAAGCACTAGAGGATGCTGGGAAATTTTCTTGTTTATGGATGAGCAAGTTTCTCTCCCAACGGAACCTCCTGCCAGCAGAAATCTTTTTTTTTTTTTTTTTTTTTTTAGGATGTATTATATAAGTCCCTGCTTGCATTTAACTAACTGACTTCCTTTTAAACAATTTATGTACTCCTTCTGTTCCTCATAGGCCAGCCTGCTCCTTGGGTGAGGCTCACCACGTAGGGCCTGCCAGTGGGCCATGTTACAGAGAGAACACGACAGGCGCTTCTCGGTGTGGTGCTTGGAGGGCTAGGCCTGCTTGCTTCCCTCCATGAGTTGCTGAAACGAGAACAAAATCTTTGAGGAGAATAGAGAGTCCCTTCAGCTCAGTGGGCCTGATACTCAGCATCTTCCCCTCCTGTAAGGCAGAGCCCTGCCTCTCACTGAAAAGCTAACAGCATCAGTTCTGAGGGAGAGCACCCAACTACTCTTGTTACCAAGCTAAGTAATCACCTTACAAATCTGTTTATTAGCTACTGAAAAACATGAAATTAAGGGGCATCACAGTCCTGGTGTATTTTCTCAGCGCTCAGGAGCACTCGGCAGCCCTTGGGCTAGGGCAGGAGGGAAGGCACTGATGCCAGGCTTCTGCTTGAGGGACAACCATGTCACAACCTTCTGCTCTCCTTTTCAAGCCACCTTCCCCAGCTACAAAGGCAAAATAAGAGATGGGAGGCACAGGGCATGCGAACATCAGACACATCACTGAGAAGGCACAGCTTTCCTCTTCAGCTGGTCTGGCACCCTGGATTACAGTAATCAGCACCCAAACACTGGTTTTGCACTATTTATTGAAGGCTACAGGTGATGGCACAGCAGGTTAGTTTTGAATCACGCCCCAAGAATGTTAAAAACAGGAATTGAGATGTATGCTTCCCCCCTCTTACTGGAGACACACAAAAAACCAGCAAAAACAAACAAGCAAACTTCACTTCAGCCCCTTCCCTTTGCTTACTGGAGCTGAACAGGATGGTTCCATAGGTAGCAGGAAGCTGGACACATTCATACCACAGTGCTGCTCACGGGAACTGGGACAAGTCTTGCCAGGTGACCTGCAGAGCTGCTTCTGCCAGTGGCATCTCCAGGGGTTACTCATCAGGCAGCACAGTCCCAAACACAGGGTTATTTCTTCAAAGAGAAACAGAGCACCTTCACTTTCAGACACAGGTTTGCTACGTGTGTGGTCACCTATAAAATGGGGTGGTAGGGGTCTGTGGGCTGCAGTTCCAGCTCTCAGACACAGTTGTACACGTGGATTTTGCACCAGGTTTCCCTCTCTCCCTACTCTCCACGTGGCTACACTGTGCTCCTGCCTGCTCGGGACTGGCAGTGGGAAGATGCTGTAGGTGCAGCTAGGGAGGAAAAAAAGCATTCCAGGGCTGAGACAGCTGTGAACTTGCCTGCCCTCCCCACCCCCTCCTCTGCCCCCATTAAAAAAAAAAAAAAAAAAGGCCCACTTCGTTTCTGAACAAGCATGAAAGCAGCTCTGGTACATTCAGTTGATTTTCCTGACTCTCTTGGAGCACCCCAGACTCACCCAGTCTGCACAGCCAACAGAGGGAGCTGATTTTTCTTGCGGAAGAGCAGACGCTCCTCTGGGACTCAGAGGGAGAAATGACAAAGAACAGGCAGGAGCGATGGGGACAGGCAAAATTTTTCAGTGAGAGACTTTACCCATGTATCAGACATTACTCTGCCTTCTGTGCAATTAACTACTTACTGACCAGGCCAATTCCTTCAGATCAAGCTTTTACAACGGTCAAGGGCTACATGCGAGCAGCCCAAGGAAGAGGGAGAATAACCCAAGTCCTTTCAGGGAACCTTGGCAGGCTGCAGTGAATCCTAGCCTGTTATTAGAAACTTGAGCTGACAATAAAGCTGTGCTGCTCTTCACAAAAGACAATTTGCAACTACCCAGCTTCTTCACCAGCCCAGAAATCACAAGAGAGAACTTTGTAGGAGAAGCCATCTGCTTCGTCACTTCCTCCATTTTTAATGACAGCCACCCCGGGTGACTGGAAGAGTCCCTGCCTGGCTCGCCTTCCTGTTCCTCAGGGCCATGAAGTCAGAGGTCCCTGCGTGACATCACAGCACGACCATGCAAGGCAGCTCTGAAAACGCCCAGCCAGGGCTGGGGCGCCAATACAGCCCTGGCACAAGCAGCAGAAAGCAGCAAGCAAAGGTGAAGGGTGGGATGGGAACAGCAACAAAAAAGGAAAGTGAGGCTCGTCTCTGCTTTTCATTTAACAGATTAGAGAGTCTCTCTTTAAATGTGACTCATCCGGGGCAATACTAGGCAGAGTTTCTTCTATTAACACACCCTTGGCAATAGCAGTTCAGTTAGTCACTGACCGGGTATCAAGACGTCACCCGACGGGATGATGCGTCTCTTTAACTTGGTACGGAGTCCACTAGCACTTATTTGCTTTGGAGAAGAGCGGGGGAGGAAAGAGGGGGGCATGCCATCCCTCCTGAGCAACTTTACCGCCAACTATTTGCACCCACATGCCGACACGGCCCGTTCCCTTCATCTCTGTTCCCGCCGGACACACCGAGCCCTGCTGCGAGAAGTGTTCCATCTTTTCACGCTCCCCTGCGCAGTGCGGCCGATCGCGGGGCGCTACCCACGGCACGTCGGGGGTCCACGGCGCTGAGAACAGGGAGCCGCTGGAGACGGGACAGTGGCGCTGGATGGGGGACGCCGACTCCTTGGCACAGCAGAGCCCCTCTCCGGGGCGGCCGGGAGGGGAGGCGGGCGTCGAGGCGTCGAGGCGCCGGTCCGTGGAGGCAAGGCGGCCGCACAGCGATGTCCGAGGAGCAGGTTAGCCGCTGTCACACGCACAGTGGAGTCGCCGAGAGCACAATGTGCGTTAGTCAGTGGCTCACCTGCTCCTGGAGGGTGACGGGGGGCGGCGGGGCCCGCCTGCAGCACAGGACACACCGGGCAATGCGAAGGATGGGGGAGCAGGAGGGGGGAGCCGCGCCGCTCCCGGGCTCCGCGGCGCGCCGGGCTGCAGTTCCGCGCTCCCACCCTGGGACGGGCTCGCCCGTGCGGCCCCGGGGCTGGCGGTGCCCCGCGGCTCCGGGGCGGGGGTCCCTCCCCGGCGCGGCCGCCGCTCACCTGCGCTCCCGCCGCCCCGCTCCCGCCGCCGCCGCCGCCGCCAACTTCTCGCTCTGCCCCGGCCCGGCCCACGCCGCGCGCCGCGGCCCCTCGCCCCGCCCATCGCGCCGCTCCAGCCAATGGCGGCGCCGCGCGCCCGCCCGCCGGCCCCGCCCCCGCGCGGCCCCAGCCAATGGTGGCGCTGCCCCCGCCCGCCGACGGCCGCGGTGGGGCGTGTCCGGCCGCGCGGCGCGGCCCCCCCACCCCCCCGGCGGTGACAGCGGCGGGCGCGGCGCGTTCGCTTCTGCACGTCGCTGCTGCTGCGGGGAGGAACCATTTGTACCTGTTGAGCCGCCGCCCGCCCCCCGCTCACCCCGCCCCGCCGACCCCCGCCCTCCCCGCCCTCGCCGCCCCACTCGGGCCGGCGGTCGCCGGCGGCGCCCCCCTGCCTCGGTGCCGCTTCCCGCGGGGAGCCCCTTCCCCGCTGGCGACTCGCGCCCCCGCCGCTTGTCTCCCCCTTTCCCCTCCGTCCCCTCCCCGCCCCCGCCGCAGCCCGGCCCATGGTACGGCCCGCCGGGGCCGTGCCATCAGGGCAGTGTCGGGGCGCACGTAGGCGGTGCGGGGGGGACGGACTGGGGAGGCCGGCGGGGGGGTCGGGGTGTCCCCGGCCGCCCCCTCCCCGCTGCCCCTTCTCCCTTTGCTGCATCAAATGTCACCGTGTCACATTATTTTGTTGTGTATTTCCGCCCCGGTTGTTCCCCTCTGGGCTGAGCGTGCGGCGAACCTGAGCGTCCCTCGCAGTGCCGGGGAGTGGATTTGGTCCCTCGCACCAAGGGGTGTTGCATGGGGTCCCTTGGTCCCGGGAACCTGCTCCCAGCAACTTCCCCAAAAAAAGGGACGGGCAGTTGGAGGCTGTCTGGGCACCCTTAGCGTAACAGCTCTCACCTTCTCATGGAGAGGGCTCGCTCCCGCCCATCACCCTACAAGCCGCAGCCAAGTAAACGGGCTGGAACGATGAAAAATTTAGTGCACCTCAAGGAGGATTTGCCAAGCACCAGAAACAGAGCTCTATGGAGGAGTGCAGCACTGTCCGGCAGTGGGAAAAGCCTCGTTTGGAGCCCAGAGACCTAGGCGTCGAGCCTGCAGGCTGGCCCGAAGTCATACACGTCCCCTCCTCAGACATCCGGGGGAGTGGGCGCTTTTGGTGGGAACCCCCGCTTCAATCACACTGCTGATGGTCAGGAAAAAACACTTCAGGTGTGCATGTGGCCACTGACAGAACAGCAGACATGTGGCTCGTCCTTGGTGAATTGATAACGCGTGCCGTCCAACAAAAGGCAAGAGCTCTGCATCCCTTGTGAAAACTTCCTTGGCATCAGCTGTCCCAGCTCCAATAGATGTTTTGCAATCTGGAGTAAGATCTGGAAGCAAAACCCAGTGCGGGCTCCCTGACAGCTGGTGGCGATTCCCCGCTGAACGCAGTGTGTGTTGCTGAAGCACTTTACAGTCACCCATGGCTCTGCTCTCCTGTTGCCGGTGGGGAGGGGGGGATGGGGGGACAGCCCCTCTTCTGCGTGACAGCCTGCACAATGACAGGCTGTCTCTGTTGTCATTTTGTGTGCGTGCTATGTGGGGGTTTTTGTTTCCACCCAGTAGCCGTAGGGGAAAAGTCACGTATTTTACATCTTTCCCAGCACAGGGCTGGTGCCCGAGTTGGAGAGAAATCGTCCTTGGAGCACACCGGCCCCTCTGCCCTCCAAGGGTGAGCCGACAACAAAAGCAAGGCACAGCCATGGAAAATACTCACTTTGCTTTAAAATAAGTATTTTTGCGGGGAGTAACATGGCTGGGTACTGCCCCAACACTTCCCTATTAGCACTGCTGCTTCTGCCAGCTGCTCTGCAGGGCACGGGACACACGTGCCGATGGCTGCTGTGCTCTGCCAAGTCACTCACCTCTTCCAGGCAGTGCCCAACATTTCAGATTTAAAAAAAAAAGTCCTTCCCCTGACTGTAGGCACACAGAGGGAAGGAGTGTGTTTTGAAGCAGTGCTTGCACAGCTGGCTGCCTGCACAACCAAGCCGTGGACGTTGCTCGGACCTCCCTGAGTGTTGTGTTAAGCCATCCAGTGTGGAGTGGGGCCGGCGTGGAGCCAGACGAGAGCATGGCCGGCAGGAGGATGCGGGATGCGGCGGGCGAAGCACTTGCCTGCAGTCCAAGGGACGGGCGCACCGGGCCCTCGCTCTGGATGTGCCATCGTCCAAGTCTTTAAAGGAACAGTGAGATCCCCTGGGCTCAGAGGATGATATGCCATTGCCCTGGCAAGGCCCCGAGTGCTGGTGGGTGCTGTTTGCCCTCAGCCCTCGCTCCCCCTCCACCTCCAAACAAGTTCGTGGCTCAGCCCTTAATCTCTAGGATGAAATGTCCTGCTGACACGGCCTGTGTTGCCCCGGGGAGAGCCCCCGCTTAGCCCAACCCTGCAGCTCTTCCCTTTGTTCCCAGCTGGCTTGCAGTCCCCACAGCGGTGCCAGAGCCACGATGCGTGCGGTGACAAGGACCTGCATCCGCGGATGGCGGGAGAGCGTTACGGGATGCCTTGGACTCTGGCCCTTTGTGCCCGCCTTGGTGCGGTGACGGTGCCGCTGTGCTGCCCCATGGGCTCGGGGAACAAGCCTAAAGGGGGGACATTCCCCCACCCTATCCCTGTCAAACACGGCCTCAATTAACACGCAACTAAAATGCTGTCTCTTCGCAGGGCAGCTCAGCTCTTGCCTTTTCTAACACGAAGATAGTGCGTGTTCATCGGCTGTGCCATCATCAGCGTTTTCAACCCGACCCGTCTCGCTTCGCCCCTCTCACAGGCCCCGAGCGGGCAGGCAGCAGCAAGGCTGGCCCAAGTTTTGCTTCGCTCTGTGTTCTCTGGAAAAGGACCTCGTTTTCTCCCCGGCCCCAGTCTCATTCCTGACAATGACCCGAGTGTCTGCGAGGACACGCACGTTAGCGCTGGGTCACGTCCGCCTGCGAGCACAGCCTGGGCTGCGCTCCCCTTGCCGGCGGACAGCCGAGGACAGCCCGACGGAGACCCACGGCTGATGGAACAGTGTGAAACCAGCCCTTCTCCTCTACGTGCGTGCGCTCACCCAGAGCCACGGGAACATTTGGGTCGGGCCCAGCCACGCGCAGTTAGAGGGGGAGGGAAAAAAACACCCACGGTCTGAGCTGCCTTCGAGAATATTTAGCACTGATCCATGTCCTCCCGCACCGCACGGGCCGGACTGGGCCGTGCGAGGATGCTCCCAGCCCCGAGAGGCCGGCTCCCCGCACGCCTCGCAGCACAGTGGCCTTTGCGTCCCGCTTCCCCTCCAAAGCTTGGGGACACCGGGCAGGGATGCCAGGGGAATCACCCCTGTCAGCCCTGCTTCCATGGGGACACCGGGAGCGGCCGGAGCGGGACCGGCACTGCCCGCGGGGATCAACCGGTGCGGCCCCGCCTCGCGGCCCCGCAGTGGTACAGCCCGGCGCGCCCCCCCTCCGCCGCAATGGTTCAGCCCCACGGCCGCTCTCCCCCCATCAGCAGATGGTTCGGCCCGGCCCCCCTGCCGACGCGCGGTGGTTTCGGCCGCTGGCGCCCCGTGACCCGCCAGTGTTTCCACAGCGCTTCCGGGGGAGAGGCGGCTGCGGGGTCCCGGGATGTGACCGAGCCTGGGTCTGCTCCTGCCGGGAATGTGAGCGCCGAGCTGCTCCTCGGTGAGTCCCGGGGAAGGGCAGGGTGCCTGCCTGTGGCCTGCGAGGGCTGCGGCGGGGCTGGGCCGCGGGAGTTGCGGGGCGGCCGCCCGTCCGCTCCGGAGGGGAATTGCCCCGCCACGCTCGGGGTCGCTTGTTTGGTGCCGCTCCGATAAACAGCAGCGACAACACAATGTTTATTGGGCTGTTTTCGGGCGGGAGGCGCCGCCGCGGGAGGGCAGCCCCGGGCCGGGCTCTCCCCGGGTGTCCCGCGGTTCCCGCGGGAATGTCCCGCAGGTTGCGGAGTGGCCGGGCGGGCTCGGGGGCGCCTCGGCCCGGGAGCCATCCAGCTGCCTTTGCTGCGGCAGAGCTCTAAATAAATACGCTAAATACATACTAAAGATAGTAAAAAAACCAACCCAGATGTTTCCGGCGTGTCGTGTCTGCACCTCCCTCCTTCCCTCCTCTTCCCTTTCCACCCATTCCCGCTGTGTTCGGTGCGCCCACGGGTGCTGGAGAAGTTATCAGCTCTTTCAGCCAACGGCTGGCTGGCAAATAAAAATGATGTTTGGCTTGCAATTTTTTTTTTTAATCGTATATTATTAGCTTATCACAAGGTCGTGTTCAGTCGTTAAAGCTTTGCCCCGAGGGACCTGCTTACTAAGAGGTTTCTGAGCTGTGTCACTGGTCCGCCCCACACTCGGTGACAGGAGATGGGTGTGATTTTTGTAGTTTTAGTTGCTGGCTTTCCTGCAGGTTGTTGCCGTGTACGCGTTGCTGATGTATTGCAGAGGTGTCTGCTGTGTTATTTCCTTTCTTGTAGGTCAGTGGGTCTTGTTTGTTACGGTTATGCAAAAAGAAAAAATAATAAAACTGTGTGAGGGTTTTTTTCGGTTTCTGTTTGTTTGGGTTTGTTTTGTTTTGTTTTCCCACAGTCATACCCATAAACAGCAGGGGAAGCTGTAGTTAAAGATGAGATTGGTGTGAAAGACTGAGACTGAAAGGGAATTCACCAGTAAGGGTGAATTTTCCTGGGAGAGGAAGGCTGTTAAGAAAGAGGAGGATGTGTGAAGTTGGAGAGTGTTCAATTCACAGCTGGAAGCAGAGCCAATGGCTGCAGGGAATTGTAGACTGGGAATTCCATAGATCTTGGCTGCTGCTTTGAATACAGAAATACAAAATACCTGGCTGCCCCTCTGGGTAAGATGCTGCACTTCAAAAGTGCTTTTGCAAAGCCTGTATGTTGCTTTGTTTGCATTACCAACTCCCCAAAGAGTTCCTGGGGAAGCTCTGGTGGACAATTTTCCTCCTGGAATTCAGGGTGGCTAAATTTAG